CAGCACACCTTCCCCAACCAGGGCTCCGACGCCGATGACGTGCTGACCGTCATGCGCATCGACCTGTGCGGGCCTTTCCCGGTGGCTGCCAAGGATGGCAGCCTGTACTTCTTGTTTCTGAAGGACCGCAAGACCCGCTACGTCAGGGTGAGGCCGGTCGCCAGGAAGTCGGATGCATTGCAGGAGTTCGTGCAGTGGCTGGCGGTGGCTGAGTTGCAGACGAAGAATTCGGTGTTGATGCTGCGCTCCAACCGAGGAGGGGAGTTCCTCGCGAAGCAGTTCACCGACTTTGTGAACGCCAAGGGGATCGTCCACGACCTGACTTGCCCAAACACCCCGCAGCAGAAAGGCATGGCGGAGCGGGAGATGAGGACGGTGGTGGAGTCGGTGCGGACGATGCTGCTGCACATGGGCGTTCAGCACCACTCACTCTGTGGTAGGCAGTTTGGGTCCGCAACTGCCTTGAGAGGTCAACACTTCCGCCGGGGACGACGTCGTACCATCTGCTCACCAGGAAGAAGCCCGACTTGTCGCTGGCGCGGGTGTGGGGCTGCGTGGCCCAGTTCTTGGTCCCCGAGCAGCAGCGTGATAGGAAGCTGAAGCCGAAGGCCAGGTGGGGCCTTCACCTTGGCTTGTCGTAGGAGAGCAAGGGCTGGGAACTCCTTGACATCGCCGACAACTCTGTCGTCACCACTTTCAGAGGTCCACTGGTGATCCCCTATTGATCCTAGGGAAGGGTTACAAGCTCGTTGTCCTGGGGGGTTATGGGCGCACTGACCCGCTACTTAACAAGCCCTTTTATCCCAATGGTCTAGTGGTTGGGATTCTGACAACCACGTCGGAAGTGGTGCTTCTATGAGAGCACGTCGTTGGAGGTGTGGAAGGCGGAGCACGGGCCGGCGTCGGGGCGGGCACCGGTCCACCCGCCGACGGACACCTCGACGGCGACGCTGCCTCTGCTCACCGAGGTCGGGGAGCTTGCTGATGAGGACGCCGAGGTCGTCCGTCCTCCTTCCCCCCTACCCCTCCCCTCGTGGCTGTCCTGCGCGGGCTGACTCCGGTGTCGGCCTCCGGCGATGAGGGGAAAAGTGGGACGTCGCCTTCGGCGCCGACCAAGAGCATCGCCAGTGGCCGACGTGGCGAGGTGCAAGTCGACGTGGGAGTGAAGTCGACGTTGATAGGGGAGGAGCAGGTCGAGGAGATGCAGCCGACTTGGGTGAAGCCGGAGAAGAAGGCACCAGCAGGGCAGCTGCCGACAGGGGAGTAGGCAGCGGTGAAGCCTACCATGGAGCAGTCGGCAACCAGGCAGTCGGCAGAGGAGCCAACCACAGGGGAGAAGTTGGCTGGGAAGCGGACTGTGGTGCAGCAGGACGCTGAGGGCAGCAAAGCCGGTGACGACGGAGGGGACGTTGAGGTATCCACCAATAGCGACGTGGTGGAGGTTCAGCCTGGACCTCGGAAGTCAGGCCGAATTCGGAGGCCACCCGACTTCTTCTTCCCCGCTGCCTTCATTACAGTGTACGACATGGACGATGATCGCCTGCTGTACGACAACGCCGAAGACGATGAGGAGTTTCCGGAGCTCGACCCCGACATGCATGCCGACCCCGAGCATCATTGGGACATCTCGACGATGACGGTGAAGGAGGTGCTGGCAAGCTGGAAGAGCGCGGCGGTGAAGGCCGCCATGGAGGAGGAGATCCGTAGCCTCATCGACATGGGGATGTGAGAGCTGTTTGAACGGCCGCCGGGGGTGAACATCATGAAGAACCGGTGGGTGTTGATGACGAAGTACCACATCGACGACACCGTTGAATGCGAGAAGGCAAGGCTGGTCGTGAAGGGCTTCACGTAGGTATACGGTGCCGACTATGACGAGACGTACGCGCCGGTGAGCAGCTACGTCACGCTAAGGATCTTCATCAGTATCGTCGCCGTCCTCAACCTCAACCTGATGCAGCTCAACATGAAGAACGCCTTCCTGTAGAGCAAGCTCGACCGGGTGCTGTACATGTACCAGCCGGACTACTTCAACGATGGGACCGGCCGGGTGTGCAAGCTACTGAAGAGCCTGTACGGGCTGAAGAAGTCGCCGTTGCTGTGGTACTTGGCGCTCAACGACGTGCTGGTCAGGTCGACGAGGCTCTGTACTTCAAGGTCGGCAACAACGGTGTGGCCTGCTGGGCGCTGGTCTACGTCGACGACCTGCTCGCCTCCAGCAACAGCCCCGAGATGCTAAAGGAGCAGAAGGAACTGCTGGAGGCCGCCTACGAGCTGCGCGAGATCTCACCGTTGCAGAAGTAACTCGTGCTGGAGATCGTCCGCGACAGGTCGGTGGGGAAGCTGAGGCTGCACCAGCAGGGCTACGCCGACAAGCTGCGTAGGCGCTTCATCGACGAAAAGCAGACCGGGCACACTTCGAAGACGCCGGTCTCGTTCGACGCCTATGCCGAGCTGACCTTCGACGAGGAGGAGGCAGAGGAGTGACAAGAGGAGTAACGTCAGAAAGTCAGCTCGCTGTAGTTCGCGGCAAAGACGACAAGGCCGGACATCGCCTTCACCTACAGCAAGCTGGGGAGCAGCCTCACGGTGAGGAGCGACCAACACTGGCACGAGGTCGACCGTTGCCTCGCTTACCTCGCCAACACCCGCGACACCGCCCTGGAGTTCGGCGGTGGATCACACTCGCTGGAGCTGGTCGGCTACATGGACGCCGACGACGCCGTCAACAAGCAGAAGAGGACGAGCACGGGCGGCTACGTGTTCATCTACGGAGGGGCTGCAGTCTCCTGGTCGAGCCAGCGCATCAAGTGCGCGACGCTATCGTCGGCCGAGTCGGAGTACGTGGCGGCCACCGAAGCCAGCAAGGAGGGACGCCGCCTTCACTTCCTTCTTGCACATTTCCGGCTGCTGGATGCCGGGAAACCGACAGTTCTCTGGGTGGATAGCAAGTCAGCCATCAGTAGGGGGAAACTACGGGTTTATACAGGATATTCTCGCGACGACACTGGATGGGCACGACATATTACTAGGACGTGTTTGGCTGCGACGCTACAATCCGTGAATTGACTAGACGACAGGCAGCTGCACTGTGCAAAGCAGCGGTAGCTGGGTCGAACTACCTCGGTGGCAGCTGCCTGAGTCTTCGACGGTCCACGTCAATGCCATCAGCGCTTTTGTACTATGCTAGGTCTTGTGCCTACTTGGCCTCACTTGCTCACTTCTTGACTTTGCTTGTACTATGATCAATATTTATACCTGCACCTGCATGCTTACCCTTGCTAGGTTGAGATCTCTGTCTTGCTTGTTCACCTTGATGTATAAATCTGCATGTGTACTGGCCTTGTGTCCTTGTGCCTGTGCTCAGAATGCGTGGTGACATCGTGATCCACCCTGAGCTTGCTTTGCTTTGCTTGACTGGTCTTGTGACCTCTTGTTCTCCCCCACTTTGCCTATGGGGGTGTGTCAAACATGAATGATATAGCCTGTGTAGGCTGTACTGGGGTAGACATTATGGGGTACAGCTATTCTAGGTTTTCCTACTTGTACCCATCTCCTTTCTAGTTCACATCATTCACTCGTACTTTTCTCACATTGATATTTGACCGGTGCAGACGTGACAGTACGGAAAGACCATAAATCTCTATAGTACCTCTGCACACAGCCCCAACTCAACTCACGAGAGGTCTGGTGGCTCGATTTCCTCGAGTCGAATTTTCACTACACGGTTACCTACAAATAGGGGCATCGAACATTGCCGACGCACTGACCCGCCCCACTGCCCAATCCAAGCTGTAATACTCGCCCAGACCAGCCCGCTACTAAGAAGACTATTTACCCATGGATATCAAATAGGCCCCTTCTTCACAGGTGGCAATTTGCAGCAGTTCGCAGCAGCAAAAGGGGTTTATTACGTAAAAATCGGCACCGACCGCATCTGGGTTCCAGGATACACTTTGCTAAGGGAGCTGCTACTACAGGAGGCATACGACGAGATTACCTCAGACCATTTCGGGATAGAAAAAACACGGCAGCAGTTGCAGCGGTACTACTGCTGGCCCGAAATGTTGACCGACGTACAACGACACGTGGCATCGTGTCCCACCTGCCATGTCACCGTTCACTCGCGATACTCGCCTCAGCTATTTCCCGCCACCTCGCCCATCGCAACCCAACCTCATGGCTCGGCTGGTAACCCACGATCTGGGCCTCCGCTTCGGCACTTTCCCGACCTCAGTCACAGGCCCGTCGCGCGTCACCCAAAGTTCGTTACCGTTACCACTGTGGCCTTTGCTATTTAGCTCTCGCTCATTCCTTTGCTCATTGTACTGATTTGCTTCGATAGTGCAATTTTGTAAGAAAATTTCTCGACATTCCTTACCGCGACCGTCAACATCGCATACAGCAGCAGCCGCTGTTCACCCGTTACTGCTAATAGGGCTTCGCCAATTTCACGCGCACTGTTTCACCAAACATTGCACTGTTGGAGCAGCCAAGTCGGCCTACGCTTCGGGACTAGCCCGAACCTCGCGCCAGGGTAGCACTAGCTAGCTTGCACGCACCGCGTTACCCTTTGCATGTTTCGCCTATACGAATTTGCTCATACTTTGTACTCATTGAACACCTTAGTGCAATCCTCGCTACCTCGATTCATTGCACCCATAATTCTTGGTTATCAGAGCCACATTCTTTTCAGACTGCGCATCTCCGCACCCCGGGAAATCAACTTTTGATTTCCCGCTCTCGCTCGAAGGGACTCACACCCCTTAGCACCTAGGAGCCGCTGTCCTTGCGTTCTCTCGTAAACGCGTGCAGCCACGACTGCGCCTAGACTAAGCTGAGCCGACGCCCTTCGTTATGGCTGACCACATCGACGTCACGATGCTCACGCAGGACCGCCTAAACGAAGTGCTGCGCCAGCTGCATGAGAATTCAGAAGAAATTGTGGCGCTGACGGCGCAACCACTACATGCAACAACGCAATAGCACGTGACTGCAATTTACTCGCGGCAGAGGGTGTGCAGTCCCATGTTCTGCCCCGTGGTGGAGAGCGCTGCTTTCATCTCACTACCCGCCGCTACCTACCCGCCACTAATGCGGACATAAACTGAGAGATGGCACTCACGGCAGAGCGTGTGTAGTCCCATGTTCTGCACCATGGTGGAGAGCGCGGGCTTGAGCTCGCAGGAGGAGATGGTGCCGCTGCCGTCGGTGTCGAGGCTGCTGAAGAGAATGTCGATGAGCGTTGCCAGCTCGCCCTCCTCCTCCATCAGCCGCTGCATCTTCGCCCCGTCCGCCATGAACTGCAGCTGCACAACAGGCATCGCAGCACGGAAGTGTGGGGCAACCAGCAAGTGCGGCCAGTGATGGCGTCGTCCGCAATGACGGATACGACAACCACGGCATGACACACCCCGAAATGATGAATGCGCCTAGGAGCCAGCCTCGTGTCACGATTTTGGCACCGACCAACGATTCGGCGCTGCCGTCACCGATGCCACTGAAGCCGCAGCATCCGCCATGGTGCGCAGGTCTATATGCTTGGTTTAAGCCAATTGCGGCTTCGATCGTGGCGCGTCAGAAGCTCCACAGTTGATGCCAACTCGGTTCCGTCCAAGACTACACCAGCGGGTTTCTGGCGTTGTGCGAGCAGGTGGGCTACATGCATGAATCTTAGCATATCAACCGCTACATCGCTGGCCTAGACATCGTTCAGGAGATCCAGCTTCGCGACGTCACCGATTTCCAGGAGATTCTTGCCATGGCGGAGAAGCTCGACTTTTTCGGCCGACAGAGACCAGGGTCCTACGGAAGCAACAACAACTAGGGACATCGATCTCGTGGGACAAACGAGGAAGCCACGATACGTGCCGTCGTCGCGAATGCCGCTGCCGCACCGTTTTAATGGCGGTGCTTCGCGTGTAATCAGCCGGGACACCGCAAAAACGAATGCTCGAAAAACGCTAAGGGAAAGGGGGAAGCTGAGCAGCGGAAAGAGACCAAGCAGCAGGGAAACGCTGGGAGTCAGTAGCAAACGAGCCCTCTCCTGATAGGTCACACCGCTCGCCCGACCCAACCGACCCTCACCGAGTGATTGTGCTGGTTCACACAATCGACCACACCCGGCAAAATAATGAGGGTACTACGGTGGACGGCCCCATACTGCTTAGTGGGAAAATTGGGACGGACTTAGTTAAAATATTCGTAGACGGGGGAGCCAGCGACAGCCTGATCAACACCGCCACAGCACGGAAACTGAGACTACCACTGGACAGATTACCTGAGATCGGCGCAAGACTGGTTGACGGCACGCCACTGGCGATACGGGAACGCGTAGACCGAGTTCGGATTCGATGCGGGGGTAATTTCACGTTTACTCAGGAAATGCTCGCGACAACCCTCAACGGAACCGACATTTTACTTGGCTGTGATTGGCTGCAACGACACAACCTGCAAATCGTCTGGACGACGGGTGACTGCACAGTGCGAGTGAACAGTAACAACATCGCCTTACCTCGCTGGGGCTCGCCTGAGTCTTCGTCGGTGCGTGTCAACGCAATTACGATGAATCGCGCCGTAGCGGCAGGAACTGATGTGTACGCGGTCGACATTCGGGAAGCCGAAGCAGCAGACAAAGGGGGGGGGGGGGGGGGGGGGGGTTTATAGAAACTTCTAGCTGATGTACTGGATGACTTGGCAGTGCTCCTGAAGCAGTACTATGGGATTTTCCCGGACGACCTGCCGAGAGGACTGCCACCTCAGCGACCGCACGACCACAGGATAGAACTAGAACCGGGGCCACACCCGATAGTACAGCGACAGTTCCGACCGGCCCAGCCCGAACTGGACAAACTAAGAAAGCAGCTGGATTAGTTGCTCAAGAAGGAGTTCATTTAACTGAGTTCGTCACCCTTCGTAGCACCGAAACTGTTCACACCGAAAAAGGACGGGGGTTTTCGCATGGCATCGACTACTGCGCACTGAATAGGGTTACCATCAAGTCCCATTACCCCATCCCACGAGCTGACGAACTGATCGACCAGCTGCGCACAGGCCGGGTTTTCTCGAAAATTGACCTTTGAGGAGGCTACCACCAGATCCGAGTCACCCACCCGACTGCTCGAAAACTGCTTTCCGAACACGCTACGGATCCTTCGAATACACCGTCATGCCCTTCAGATTGACCAACGCCCCGGCCACTTTTCAAATGAACATGAACGGAGCCTTCCACCCGCTTTTAGATAAGTGCGTTATCGTATACATCAACGACATACTGATTCACAGCCCAAATAGAGCACAGCACCTACATGACATCGAAGCAGTATACAAAATACTGAGTGAAAACCGCCTACTGACGAAAGCATCTAAGTGAGAGTTTTTACAGGACAAAGTGGAGTTTTTGGGACACATTATTTCACCTGAAGGAGTGAAAATAGACCCGAAGAAGATCGCGACGATTCAAGCGTGGCATGCGCTGACAAACTTGACCAAGTTAAAGAGCTTTTTGGGGTTTGTCAAATACATGTGCCGGTTCATCCCCGACATGGCGCACTTGACTGCTCCGTTGACTGACCTGTTGAGGAAGGGGGTTGAGTACACGTGGGGGGAGAAAGAGCAAGCTGCCTTCTCAGCCCTCAAACAAATCTTGTGTTCTCCGCCCGTTCTTCACATCGTAGATCCGCACCGTCAATTCGAACTCGTCAGCAACGCAAACGACATCGCCGTGGGAGCATTACTGTTACAGGACTTCGGGAACGGCCTCCAGCCAATCGCGTATGAGTCTCGCAAGCTTCACCCGCCCAAACGCAACTACCCGATACACGACCGCAAAATGCTGGCGATCATGCACGCGTTCAAAGTGTGACGATGCAACCTCACCGGAGCAGACGTGACAGTACGGACAGATCACCGATCACTACAGTACCTCCGCACCCAGCCGAATCTCAACCCGCGACAGATGCGCTGGTTGGACTATCTGGAGTCCAACTTCCACTACACTATCACATACAAAAAAGGCGCATCAAATATCGCCGACGCACTCACACGCCCAACTTCACGCCATCCTACTCGCCCAGACCAACCCACTATTGATAGGCCTATTCACCCACGGATACAGTACCGACCCATTTTTACGACTGGAAAATCACAGCAACTGGCAGAAGCTAAGGGAGTCAATTACGTAAGATACGCACCAACCGCATTTGGGTACCCGCGTAATCACTATTGAGGAAATTGGTACTGTAGAAGGCACACGGCGGAGTTACCTTGGGTCACTTCGGGGAAGAAAAAATGCGACAACAGCTACAACAGTATCATTATTGGCCGGGCTATTGACCAACGTACAGCACCACATGGGCTCGTGCCGTACGTGTCAGGTGATGAAGAGCTCGCGAAAGAGAAAGGCGGGTCAGTTGCACCCGATTCCACTGCCCGAGCGCGCCTGGCAGCAGGTTACCATGGATTTTGTCACGGGGTTACCTTCGAACCTTGGGGGTAACGAGGCGGTAATGGTCGTCGTTGACAGACTGACAATGATGGCTCACTTTGCTACGTGCAAGAAATCGATCTCAGCTGAAGAAACGCTCGCCTGTTCATCGCAGCCGTCGTTCGACTCCACGAGATACCAGCCGCAAAAATCAGCAATCACGACACGAAGTTTACCAGCAACTTCTGGAAGAACCTTTGGGAGCAGTTAGGGACCAGGCTATAGTTCAGTTCATCGTACCACCCCGCTGCAGTTGCTGTCGCATTTTTTCTGCCCCAAAATGTCCCGAGGTAATCCCGTCATTTGCCTCCTGCAGTAACAATTCCCTCAGTAGTGAGTATGCGGGTACAGAGATGCGGTTGGTGCCTGTTTTTACGTAATACACTCCTTTTGCTTCTACTAGTAGCTGTGAATTTCAAGTCGTAAAAAAGGGGTTGGTATTGTATCCGTGGGTGAATAGGCCTGTTAGCTGTGGGTTGGTTTGGGTGAGTAGGATGGCGAGTAAAATGTCGGTTCCGTCGAGGGTGAGGAGATTGAAACGAGAAGTGGATGAACTATGAATGAACTGAGTACAAGTACTAACCCTAATTGGGTTGTACCCCTTATGGGCTACCCCACTATAGCCTACACAATAAGCACAACCTATATGTTCTGACACACCCCCATAGGCAAAGTGGGGGAGAACAAGGGGTCACAAGACCAGTCAAGCAAAGCAAGCTCAGGGTGGATCACAAAGTCACCACACATTCCGAGCACAAGTTCAAGGCCACAAGGCCAGTTCACATGCAGGAGTACATATATATATAAGGCTAGACAAGCAAGAGCAGGTAAATATATATATATGTAACAGTACAAGCAAGGTGAAGAGGTGAGCAAGTGAGGCAAGACAGGTACAAGACCCAGCTGGGTGCAGAAGCGTTGATGATCACAAGGCGCAAGTGCCTTGGTGAAGACATCAGCAGTGTTGGCCTCAGAGGCCACGTACGCAAGCCCGCAACTGACCACGCTGCTGTAGCTCACCAGCAAGGAAGTAGCGAAGAGCAATGTGCTTTGTTCTGTGCTCTAGTCTCTGCTCTCGACACAAGGCCAGCATGGCCTTGTTGTCTACGTACAGGACTGGAGGAGAACGAGGCGACTCTCCAAGGTCGGTCAGCAGGTAGGTGAGCCAGCGAAGCTGCTATGCAGCCATGGCCCCGGCGTAGATCTCAGCCTCACAACTGGAGCCGAGAACAGAAGACGAGCGAGTAGCCCGCCACGAAACAGAGCCGGAACCAAGGCTGAAGGTGTAACCCTGTGACGACCGCTGCGTAGCATGGTCGTCAGCCCAAGAAGAGTCCGCGTGTCCAGTGAGGACTACTGGACTCCGCCCTCCAAGCACTAGCCCCATGCCCGACGTACTGCACAAGTAGCGCAACACCCTCTTCGCTGCAGCCATGTGCTCTGGTCGGTGTCTCCCAGGAGCAACATAGCGTGCGAGAATGCTAAGAGGGTATGCAAGGTCAGGTCGTGTGCAGGTCATCAGGTACATGAGGCAGCCAACAAGCTCTGGATACGGGCCACTCGACTCTACGGACTCATCCGAAGGCAGAGCTGAGAGCGAGTGGCGAGTAGGCAGAGGAGTGGCCTGAGGCAAGGAGTACGTGAAGCCGAAGCGCTGAAGGACCTGCTGCACCATGTGTGACTGAGTCAGGGTAATGGTGCTGCGTGCTCTATCCCGGGTGATCTGCAAGCCAAGGTACCTGCGCAGTTCACCCAGGTCTGTGCACGTGTGTCTCTTCTGCAGCTCAGACTTCACGTAGGCGAGTGCAGCAGTGTCAGCTGTGGCAAAGACCAAGTTGT